TTAATGTAACAAATGGTAAAACCATTTTTTACTACGGATCAAAAAACTGGCCCTTAGGCTCTCACTAGCTCCGTCACGTCGTGCGTAAATGTATGGTAGTATACAACTCAAAGTAATCTGTGGTTACAAGTATCAAATTATGGCAAGTGGCCTATTAAGTATCCTATATCTGTGGTGGAAAATAAATATATATAATAAGTCGTGTTCTAAGTAAGGGGGCGTCCATAAATTACGTGAGGTGTTTTAGGGGGGGAGGGGGTCGAGTCAAATCTCATTAAATCTCACGTTGGAGAGAGGGGGGGTCTCGGCAAATATCACGCAATTTTTTTCTGATTGAAAAAAAATTTGGAAAACGGTTGACCCTAAATGCCACCTCTGCAACATCTCGCTAACTCCACACCTAAACGCTCAGTTTTTAGCTCTTCGAGCTCAAAAGTACGAATTTGAAATGAATTTAGAAAGTCAGTAAGAATTTATGAAAGTCTGATAGAAGTTTGATAAAACAGTATTTTTTGAATTTTCAAACCACAATAACTTTTGAATAAATGAACCGATTTTTACGCGATTGGTGGCATTCGACGCAGTTTTTGAAACCTCATAACGGATTTTTAAGTTAAAAATCGATCGAACGACGCGCCAGTGGCAGCGACACACGGACATGTTCCAACATGCTTTGTTTATTCTTGTAAATGTTTTACTCGACTCAGTGCATTCTCTTACTAATTTAAAATGAGTTATCAAGATTTTTATAACGCATACGTCAAAAGATACGTCTATAAGACGAAGAAGTCCTGCCAGGACGATGTGATACAATTATGGAATACAGCGAAGCAAAAATTCCCGAAGAAAGAAGAGTTAATACATCACATTGAACATGAGATTGAACGGCTTCTCAGGGAAGCCACTGAGAGAAAAGTTCGGTCTACTTTAGCATTCCTTAAAAAAGTAGGTTAAATATTTTTTTTAAATACTTTTTTATATAAAATTGTTACAATATTTAGGAAGTCCTTTCGCTCCAGTTGAGTCACAACAACTGTAGTAGTCAATATTCGATAAATTAAAATAAAGAATCCATACAAATTCCTAAAATTAAAAAATTAAAATTATGATAAATGAGGCATTAATAGTTGAAATTTTGAAAATTAAAAAAAAAATAGTTAAATACAAAAATTAGTTTGGCTCTTTTAAATCAGCTGTTAGTAACCTGTCCGTGATTTGGCAACGCTATATTTCGGTTGTTACATTTTCATTTGCACAATATAATCTAAACCATGTAAAGTTTTTGTCAATGCAAATAAATAAATTAATTAAAACTGTTAAATTACAAAACTATAACATTCTAATATGTCTCATGGCAGGAATGCTAGTACATATTTTTTAATTATTGTTTTATTTTTCAATTATGAAATATGAAAATTTGTTAACAATAAATTAACTTATAAGTATGTATGAAAAACATATTAGTGCATTGAAGTTTAGTTTGAATTTATTGAATGGTCTGAAGCTCGCGCGCTTCGCAACGTCGCCAAATGTTCTGACGCCATTTAAATGCAGATTACTTTAAAAAAATCTGTTATTTTATAATTTTAATTTCTCTATAAATTCCCTATAGATTTTATTGCAAAAAATCAAAACTGAATATTTCGAAAACCTTATTTTGCGTTTTTTTACCCCATCTTAAATCAATGGTTAATGCCATAATTCGAGAAAGTTGTTTTAGGTCTGACTTTCTCGTTTATAAAGACTCAAAATATTAACATTTTTAATTTTTTTTTTTAATTTGCATGGTGAAGAATAAATTAAACTTCATTAAGTAGATAAATTAGGACTTTAACTATTAGATAAAAATTAATTTTAATATGCATAATCTAATATTTTTTATTTAACATTGATGGCGAAAGGACCTCCTTCATAGCATTAAAAAAAACTGAAACAGTGAAATTCTTGATAAAATATGCTAAAATCATAATACTACAAAATATTAGCGCGGTCATTTCAACTGTTTTCACATAATTCAATATTTCTTAATTTTGTGTTAATCTATCTTTATAATTTATTAGATTTATTTCTTAATATTATGATGCTTTGATTTCAGACTAACACTAAGATTTCTAACAGTTCTTCGAATCAGGCTGGGACAAGCACTGAGAGTGTTCCAAACGTGGAATGTGGAGGTCGTCTTTCTTTCTATAGGTGACGTTTTCTTCATTTTGTCCTATTCTAAATAAAAGTTTTCTGCATTTCACAGGCGCTTCGAAACGGAAAAATCTGCCTCTTGTGATCAGAGATGATGAGGATGAAGCTATGACGAACACTACACCATCCAACGTACGTCCCACTCCAGCACAAGATACTATGAAGAAAAAGATTACTAAGCTGCATATGGAGCTTGACTTAACGGAAAGGCGCAAAAGGTCTCTTGTAGCTGACGGCACTGAATTTGATAAAGCATGTAATTTGCGGCGAGAAATTGACATTTGTGAGAAGAAGCTCAAGCTTAAAGAAAAACAAAGAGTGTACTCTATGACGCACAGAACAAATAGAAAACAAGCAATAATTGAACTATGTTCAAAGAATCCCGATGCAGCTAAGTCGTTGACGCCCCGTGCTGGCCCTGGACGCCCACGTTTAGAAAAAGAACAGTCTGATTTGCTAAAAACAATAAGTGATTTAGCCCTGTTTGGTGCTTCTGCTGAAGAGCGTCGTCGTTGTGAGATAGTTCGCACGGTCCATACGCTATCAGAACTTACAAATAAACTAAGCGAGCTGGGATTTAATATTTCACGAAGTGCTACTTATATTCGACTGTTGCCTAGACGGGCAAATACACGAGAAGCTAAGCGCCATGTAGTGACTGTGCCGGTGAAGCTGAGTCGTCCTGAAGCTGACCATCATAAGGCACACCAAGACCAATACTTTTCTGTGGCCTCCATAAGGTCGCTGGAAACGATAGCCTCGGTACTTGGTCCTGACTCCGTAATTTTTTTATCTCAGGATGACAAAGCCCGCGTCCCCATCGGCCTGACAGCGGCAAACAAGCAGGCGCCATTATTAATGCACGTTGCATATAAAGTGTCGTTACCAGACCACGACTTTGTGATTGCTTCGAGGCACAAATTAATTCCAAGCGTGTATGCTTTGTGTGAAGTGAGACCCAATGAGATGGGACGACCGGAAGCTGTTTCATATAGTGGACCAACTTACATAGCAATACGAAGTGGCAAGCACTCTTCGTCAACTGCAACTAGTCACGCTCAAGATTTGGACACTCTTTTAACAATTGAGCCTTTTTCCAAATTTACAAAAAATATAGACAGAAAAGTTAAACCTGTTCTTATAATTTCAAGCGACGGTGGGCCTGACGAAAATCCGCGATATCACAAAGTGATCGCACACGCCATAGCGCATTTTAAACTATATGATTTGGACGCAGTATTTATTGTGACTAATGCCCCTGGCCGGAGCGCATTCAACAGAGTAGAGAGACGCATGGCTCCACTCAGTCGAGAACTAACAGGCGTTGTTCTTCCCCATGATTCTTTTGGGACACATCTTGACTCCAGCGGCAGAACATTAAACGAAAGTCTGGAAAAGGATAATTTCAAAAAGGCAGGGGATATTTTGGCTGAAATATGGTCTGCAGTGTGCATTGACGGACACGAAGTAGTCGCTGAATATATAGAGCCGAATAATGAAACTTCTAGCGTTCCAGACCTGCCAGCCGAAGAATGGTACACTGAGCACGTTAGAGAAAGCCAATATTTACTCCAGGTACATTAGCAGTTGGTTCATATCAAATTTCTATACGTGCCTAATTTTTTTTTTAAACGAGCACGAATATCAACAAATTTTTATTAAGAGTTATTAATTTTTTTTTTAGGTTGTAAAATGCGATGACCAGAAGTGCTGCAGCCCACGCCGGAGTGATCTGCATATGATTCTTCACGACCGTTTTCTGCCGCCTCCATACCCTATCACTCAAGTTGATGGACATTTGACAATTCCGGACTTTAAAGAGCATGACGGAAAGTCATTTGTTCCATTTTTTAATACGCCACTGCCTACCGATTCAACCGCTGAATGCCTTCATCAGCACGCCTTATGATCTCTATTGCCCAAGTGTTCGTGATGATTTAGAGAAAAGATGCTGCAGTACATGCGGTATTTACTTTGCATCTAGCAAAAGAGCTACAGAGCACAGGCGATCAGCCCACATTGCACCAGCTAAGCAAGCGCGTATGTTCCGCAAGGTCCGACCCTCACGGATTGTCACAAGACGAGCTAATGAGTTACTGTGTGCAAGTGCCAATGGTTTAGAGTGGCTAGATCAGAACGAAGTTGAAGGAGCAGATGATTTTACTGAAAATCATATGGACATGTTGGTTCCAATAGTCTCTCTTGAGACCGCGCATGATTATCCATGGACTGAATTAGAGTAGATATTCTTTTTTTAATCACAGTAGTTACGATTTAAGTATTCTATTGTTAAATTTTTATTACACTTATAATTAAACTCTCAGCAATATTGATTACTAGTCTTAAATAAAAGCACGAAGCAAACTTTTTTTTTCTTTTACAATAACAATCCAACGCGTTTACGTAAGAAACCCACATTTTGAAAAACTCACGTGAGATTGGGGGATGGGGAGGGGGTTGAACAAAATCTCACGACATCTCACCAGGGGGGAGGGAGGGTCAGAAAATTATAAAAAACACCTCACGTAATTTATGGACGCCCCCTAACCAATACCAAAGGCGGGATAAAATGAATTAAATAAAAGCTAATATTATTAGTTTTAAATATAAATTTCCTTTATTAAAACAGATAAAATGTGTAATAATCATAAATCGACTGGTAATTCTCACAATTCACTGTGAAGATCTGTTCAACACTCCTTCAAATTATAAGAATTACTTAAAAGAAATTAAGAAAATCCCTAATAGTTGAAAAGAAATAGTTAAAAGTCGATGGTAATTTAATTATCACAGTTCACTTAAACATGACTATTTTAAAAAAAGTGTACACTCTTGTATTCCTAAGAAAAGACAACAAAATATTGCTGGGTCTCAAGAAACGAGGTTTTGGCGTAAACAAATGGAATGGATTTGGCGGGAAAGTCGAGCCTAATGAGACTATTCTTGAAGCAGCAGCACGGGAATTAAAAGAAGAATCTTGTGTTGATGTTAAAACTAGTGAATTACAAAATATAGCTCATTTGGAGTTTACATTCGAAGGTGATCCCACTATGATGGATGTAAGAGTATTTTCTGCAAATGTTTTCCAAGGTGAACCTAAAGAGACAGAAGAAATGATACCAAAGTGGTTTGAACTTAATGCAATACCCTATAATGACATGTGGCCTGATGATAATATTTGGTTCCCACTTATGTTAAGTGGTAAATTATTTTATGGAATATTTAATTTTAAAGGATTCAATACAATATTAAACTATAACATTCAAGAGTTAGAATCAATGGAAGCTTTCTACAAAATACATAAGTAAATGACTTTTATTCTAACGTGTGTGATAGTTATGTGATTAAAAACAATTGTGATAAATAAGTGTTATATTATTCCTCTAGGCTTTTGTATTATTGAGCTTTTTCTAGAATAGAAACAGTCTAATATAGCTTCAGTAAGTTTTATTATGCAAAACATATACTGTAAAAGTATTATCATCATGACTTCAGATACAAAATGTGTTTTGTATAATAATTTAAAAAAAAAAGTTATGTATAATTTTAGACATGCAATTCTTTATGAATTTATTTTATCCTCTGATCTGTAGCAAATATTGATTGTATTTGCTTTTGCTGTATAACATTCCAGATATGCCATGTTTTATCAATTTGTTTGGAATTACATTTTTAATGAAACAACATTGTATCAAAAAAAATTATAATTTACAACTGTAACTCATCATTAATAACTATGGAATCATGTTATGCTTAAAACTGTACTTATAAACTTAATAAAATACTCTCCAGAACCAGACAGTAACAATTACTATTAAAAAAAACACAAAAGTTTTATAAAATCTTTACTAGTATGTTAAACTACAAATAGTATGTATGACAGAAATTCTCAAACCGGAACAATTAATAAACAAGATGATAATTACAAAGAAAAGTATTAAAAAAATAGTTTATTATTTTACACATAAATTATGGAATAGTTCAAGGAAAACTTATCTATAGTTAAGTTTTACATATAATTTTATGAATTGGTAAATCTGTTAAAAAATTTTAGCAGTTTCTTAATGTAGCAAACATACAAATAGTCTGTCTACTCTATTGATATTTATGAATAAATTTAAAACAGCACCACTTATACTAATCCTCATCTGGTAGATTGAGAAGGGCAGTCCGTTCAAGATTTCTAGCAAGAGCAAATCTTAGCATATCTGCTTTTTTACCAGTAAGAGCACAAGAATGCAATTCTAAACACAGCATTATTTCATATGTTTCATCAGCTGATAACACTGGTGTTTCCGTTTCAAGCAGCGGTAAAGTGTCTAAGAGAAGAGTCTCCCAGAAACTGAAATATGTTTTAAAGCACTATATTATTGGTAAGCAAAGAAAACAAGATAATTAAACATTTTAACTACTTTTTATTTCTTTTATCTTTTCTTATGAAATGGCTAAAAAATTCAAGTCTCGATATGATTGAAGTATTCTTTTCTAATTAATTACGTAGTATGACCCCGCAGGGTTCAACCATAACAATTAAAATCTTTGGCACATTTTTCAGGATAAAAAAGGCTATACTTACAAATCTGGAGATAGTTTTGAAGTAATCAAAGAAACCAATAACTTGGCAGCTTTTCTGAACTCCCTGTTCTTATACAGGATGTGGAAATCACAGTATTTACCTGAAATCAAAACAATTTTGTTTCATGAAGAACAAGTATATTCCCAAATAAAACAAACAGCAACAAATGTTGACTATAATATGGTCATATTTGTGTCTATAATGTGTATGACATTAAGGAGGACATTGTATATTTAATATTTCAAAATATACTGTCAAAACGGTGAATTTAATAATTCCAGAATTTGCAGTAACCTATTTTAATACAGAGGCCAGAGTTAAGTTTGTTTTCATAACAAAAAAAACAAAAAAATATTTTTTTACTGACTGAGTAGCACAGTGGATCCAGTCAGTAGCAATTCGGCGTGTGGCAATGGAGCCCCGGCGCAGTACCGACGTAAGGCCTGTTCGGCTGCTCGCGCGCACAACTCAGTGGAACGAGTGCGGCCTCCCCACGCTAAAGCGGCACCAGAATTCCCACTTTTTAAACGTCGCGTTGACATACAACCACAAACTGTTTGCACTAAAAATAGAAATAATTAATTGATAATTCTAATGATGTAATAAATCAATGGCAGATATAATCAATAAAGTTATATAAGACATAATATGTAAAATTTTCATTTACTGCCAGTTCTCAAAGCAAAGGCGTAGAACGGACAGCGCAATAAACTCTCCGTCAGTGTTTTAACCACACAAACTCTATTTATTTAAACTTATCATTTTAATAATATGATAAAAAATCTATAACTCGTCGTGAAAGATGTAGTTTGATAGACGACAAATGTCGATATCTAAATGAGGATTCCAATCAATCGTTCTTAAGAAAATATTACAACAATTAATAAGAAAAAGCAAATTATAATAAATGCAAATTGTTCACAATTGATTCGAAATAAATTGACTGAACGAGCCAAGGCTGTACATTTTGCTCACTCAGGCTTTCTTGGTTTCATAAGCGTGGCGATTTCCTAAATCGTCGGAGTTAAACCCCGAGAGTATAGCCAGACGTAGGCACTCTGTTCAACTGTTACATTGCATTCATTCATTACATAGCAATTAACATTTCACTTAAACAGACAGTTTAAACAGACGTGTAAAAACCTAGCATGGAACAAATATTGGGCTTTAAAAGAAGTACTGAAATCCAACCATAACTTAACTATAAAAAGAACAGTCATGGACACATGCATACTTCCATGTTTGTCATACGGATGCCAAACCTGGATTTTTAACAAGGCGTTAATAAAAAAGATTGGAGTATGCCAAAGGGCTATGGAGCGCTCCATTCTTCAATTGAAGCTTAAAGACAAAATAAAAAACAAGGTGATACGAAGTCGTACAAAAATAAAAGATGTTGTAACTTTTCAAAAAGGCTAAAATGGAAATGGGCCGGTCACATTGGCCGCATTTGTGATGGCAGATGGGTCAAAAAGACCCTTACTTGGAAGGGCCCAGTGGGAAAAAGAAAGAGAGGATGCCCACCGAAAACTTGGGAAGACGATATAAAAGGGATAGCGGGAAAAAACTGGAAAATTGTCGTATCAAATAGGGATAAGTGGAAGAATCTGGAGGAGGCCTTCACTCCATCGGAGGTCGAGAACAAGTGTAAAACTTAAAAGACATGGACTTACTGTAGTTATAGTGTACTCGAATAAAGGCTATTTTTATTTTTTATATTTTATTTTATTTATTTCACTTATATTCTATTGTTGTACACGAGTGGTTGATATTGAGTAAATATTATTTAAAGCATCCCAGGAACCCTACATGGACTTTATTATTATATCATATGTCATAGCATATATGACAGATGATTAGATTTTACCAAAAAATAAATCTAAAAAACATCGTTTGGTTACCCGTTGATTTAGATATTGAAAGCTAAAATTAAAATATTATAATGCAAAAATTAATATTACTTATTATTCATATATTATGTACTTAGTTCTTTAATACGAAGTAAAACGAATTTGGAGTTCTGAGTGTAAATCCAGATTTTAAAAAGTTTTGAGTTATGTTCAGTAATTTATGATGTTAATGAAGATTGACTTACCAACATTTGGCAATCCATATTTATTAGCCTCTGCCAATATTCTCATTGCCTTGGCTTCAGAATCTATTGGGATCCTTTCTAATAATAGCTCAGCTCTCTTGAGACCCTCGGGTGGGGTTGCAGCAAGGTACGAGAGACCCGCAGACCAGAGAGACTTATGCTCCATCAGTAATGTACCATATTCCAAGATAAGACTGTCTCTAATTTTGGCTGTAACACTAAAAAAATGTATTTACAAATTGATCTCCATCTCAATTAACTAATGAGAATTGTTAAATGTGTTAAAAGTACCAATGTTTCACATAAGTTCTCCTACCGTTTCCCTTGGGTACACTGGGTAACAGATTTATATGTGCTGGGGACTGGAATTCTAAACATTTAAATTGGGGATCTAGGCTGAACAATACTAGAGGAAGGCAACTTTATAAAGCCACAGTAGAGATGAAATTAGAATGTCACTCCGGGCAGAGAACCTACCTATTGGCCTACCGACAGACAAAGAATCCCAGACTTATTGGACTTTTTTATTGTTAAAAACATAGATAGTAACTACTTAAACATAGAACCTCGAATAGATCTCACATCTGACCACACACCAGTTATATTGAATGTTACTACAACAGTTAATCTGGTAGCACCGCCCCTAAGGATATACAACGCGAACACTACAGACTGGACAATCTATAACAATATAATCACAACAGAGACAGAACTAAAGACCAAAATTAATACAATAGAAGAACTTGAAAGACAACTGGAACAACTTAATATAAATATTCACATTGCTGCCAATTCTGCAACTCCAAAAAGGACAGGTAATGGACAACCTCTGAAACATAACTCATATCCAAAAGATATTAAAGAGAAAATACACGAGCGCCGACGTTTGAGAAAAATCTGGCATACTACGGGATATCCAAGTGATAAAACTGCATTCAATAGATACTCAAATGAACTCAAAGCTCTTATCAGCACCCTAGAAAATGATAATATTCAACACTATCTCTCAAATCTAAATCCAACGAGAGACACAAACTACTCACTATGGAAGGCTACCAAGAATCTAAAGCGCCCGAAAAACCATATATCACCTATCAATGATGAAAAAGGAGGATGGGCTAGATCAGATAAAGAAAAGGCAACAATCTTTGCGGAATATCTGAAAACAGTTTTCCAACCACTCCCTGAAAACAATCCCGAACATACTATGGAAATCAAAGAATACCTCGAGTCAGCGAATCAAATGTGTTTACCACTAAAAAGTACCAGCCCAAAAGAAATTGTGAAAGAAATTAGGAACCTCAAGGATGGTAAAGCACCCGGCTATGACCTGATTGATGCCACATTACTTAAAAACTTGCCTCATAAAGGTATCATGAAATTAGTTAACATCTTTAATGCTAGCCTAAGACTTGAACATTTCACTGGGCAATGGAAAATTGCACATATAGTCATGGTGCCGAAACCCGGTAAACCCCCACACGAAGCTACTTCATACAGACCTATCAGCCAGTGCTACCAGTTATTGGCAAACTGTTTGAGAGGATATTGCTTAACAGGATGAAAGAACATCTAAGTACAGTATTACCGAACCACCAATTTGGATTCCGGGAAAAACACGGGACAACTGAACAGGTACACCGTATAGTTGACACCATTAGCAGGTGCCTTGAAAACAAATTATATTGCTCTGCAGTCTTTTTGGATATCAGCCAAGCGTTTGATAAGGTATGGCATGACGGCCTCCTGTTCAAGCTAAAGAAGCATCTTCCACATTGTCTATTCCTAATATTGAAATCCTACTTAGAGAAAAGATGCTACCAAGTGAAGTACGGCGATGATCTCTCAGAAGTACACGAATTATAATCAGGTGTCCCTCAGGGTAGTATATTGGGCCCTATACTATACCTCATTTTTACAGCAGTCATCCCAACAACTAACTACACACCGACTGCGACATACGCTGATGATACGGCGATTCTGTCGGCTCATAGCAACCCAGAAATGGCATCATCACAGTTGCAAAACCACCTGATAGAAGTTGAGAGGTGGCTGAAGCATTGGAGAATTAAAGCCAACGAGAGCAAATCGGTACATGTAACGTTTACTCTTAGGAGAGAAACATGTCCTCGGGTAACGCTAAACTGCAAAGTTATCCCTCAAGAAAATAACGCAAAATACTTGGGCATGCACCTAGACAGGAAACTTACATGGCAAAAACATATTTGGACAAAGCGCATACAACTGGATGGGAGGCTGCGGAAACTGAACTGGTTACTGGGACGCAAATCACAACTTAATCCTAACAGCAAGATGCTAGTGTATAAAACCAATCTGGACTTACGGGATACAACTGTGGGGAACGGCCAGCAACAGTAACATAGATATCTTGGAGAGATTCCAGACCAAAGCTCTGAGAACAATGTTTGGCATCCCACATTGTATAAGCAATAGGTACATATACCTCGACCTCGGCCTAAAAACAGTTCGACAGGAAATAGCTCAAAACAGCCTGAAATACCAGGAGAAGCTGACCTCCCATGTAAATAAACTGGCACACGCTCTGAGCGGAGAAGGCGGTCTTCAGCATAAGCGGCTAAAAAGAAGGGACGTACCGAGCCTATATAAAAGATTTACCTCTTAACATCAAGAGAGTCGTGGTTCTATGTCGAGTATGACTCTTGAGGATAACATGAACTGAGTAAATCAAACAAACAAGTGGCTTATTGCTGGTTAGCAGGTTGCCATGAAGCAGATACAAAAAAAAAAAAAACCGTTTCCCTTGAATAGTTAACTACTATTTAATATAACAAAAACCTTAGCCACAGCAACGCTTGGCTGGTCTGCTAGTGTTTTATAAAAAACTATTGGTAGACAATGGATCTAAATGAAAAACTTATTTAATAACGGTGACTTACTCAATTTGTTTGTCCAAGATCTGCAATTTACCACAATGATATAGCATGTCGGTGAGATGTGTTGCAGACCAGCCATTGTCTGATACTTGTTGGATTTCATGTATCACCTAGAATACAAAAAATGCTCTTTTACAATAGTATTAATTAAAACCATTTCAGTTTGTTGTTCTTGTCACAAAATCTTCACCTGATGTAAATCCCCCTCGAGCAATGCTTGTATTATTATATCTAAATGAGTTTTTTCTCCTGGTGTGAGACCAGCACATGCTGCAGCAGCACTTGCCAGTTCCCGCCGTTTAGCCCATGGCATTGTAAACAGAATCCAACCTCCTAGCATATCAAACCATGATGTGTACTTGATACGAATAGTCTCAAAGGCAGTATAGTCCCCAATCATAATCTGTAAGACCGCCAAGATTAAATTTTTAATTATTGAAATGAAGAAAAATAGAGATATGATTTAGGTAGATACATTCTCTGAAAATTACATGTGGAAATATTTATAAATAGATATTATTAAACAAAATACCCTTAATATAAGTTCAAGTTGAGGCTGTCGAGCCAGAGAGCCACTAGTATACTTCGACCTGCACTCAGCATGCCAGTGTTTCCAAGATATTGTAAACTCTCCACTAGATATTCCTCCATAAACCTGTAATGATATTACACAATAATACAATGTCAGTTTAATTAACAATAAATAAGAACCCCAGAACCAGAGCCCCAGGCGATACAACCTTTTTTGGTCTGGACCTTGGATTTCTATACTTATTAAAATTATACTTCTTTTGGCACTGTAGGAAAAAATGATGAGACTTTAATTTTTACAACGCGCGCACACGGTCACCCTGAAGTTAGCTATAGTGAACATTTTAGTTTTTACTATTGTTAGTGTTGTTTTTTCTACAAACTTATAATAAAAATTATGGAAAGATTTTTATCTTGTACGCCAAAGAAGTATAACTTCTAACTTGTGTACATAAGTACACACACGTTTTTTTATATTTTATTTCATCAATATAATAGGCAAGTATGTGATGAGCCTATATCTGACACATGCCGTCAACTTTAAGTGTAAGGGAAACCAATTTAATCACAACGATTTCCTTCACTGTTTATGTATATATATACTGAGCGAATGTTAAACATAGACAGAAAGTTCATAGGGGTACAGCCGGGATCAAACCTATGATCTCAGCCACTTGCTTGAAGATTAATTAACAAAAGAAATAGCCATTCAAGTAACTGAAAGACTTACATTATAAACAGGCATAGCACGCATTGAGTTATCCAGCAATTTAAATTCACTGCTATCAGAAGATGAGTGGAGTTTTAATAGAGCTCTAGCCACATCAATTCTGCCTTGTACCACCATTCCAATGATAGTATTCCAATATTCTGGATTGTCTTCGGAGCCCTTTTCACATGCCTCTAAAATTGATGCTGCAGTCTGCTCATGGCACGGAAAATGAAACCTAGCCCACTCTAGTATATATGGTAAGACAATCTCTCCAGGAATAACATCTATATATAAAATTTCACACAAATGCCAAATACATTCTATTGAATAAAAGATAGTTGTAAAAGATTGAAGGCTGTTCCTCTCCAAGCCATCAGAAGCCTTTTCGGTAGCCTCTTGTAAGTTCTCCAGACATACCCTTACAATAGAGCGGTATTGACGAGATAGTTTCAAATATTCCACTTGATTATCAGAACTTTTTGACATATCAGAAGCCTTTTGCAGAGACAAAAATGCACCATTTGCTTCATTTACTAATTTACGCAAAATAGGAGTAAATAGTGATATTTCTTGGCGGATATCTAAAATTTTGTTATCACAATTTTCAATAGTTTTAATAGTTGTTTGACTACCCGGAAATATAGCAATCTTATTCCCTCGTCTCCAAACGCATGCTACATTTCTTTCAAAACATTTGTGTGGTAGATTCTGAAATAAATCTCTAAGTAATTAACAATACATTTTTTCAAACATAACCTTTATTGTAATATTTAGTAAAGCACTTACAAACTGTTTTACTCGTTTCTTACTGTATATGGTATGAGAATTCGGATTTGCATCCGAACACCGTGTAAAATTCATCGTTTATTTTACCAAAACTTCAATAGAGAATAGGGTAATATAAAATTTATCGCAAAAATGTAAACCGCTCAGTATATTTTTCAGCGGCAAGCACAGACTAGGACAAACCGTTAACCGAATAATATCAATGACAAAGAGTATTTGTATTTTTTTAATAGTTCTATAGGCCTGAAGGAGTAAGCCGCTATTAATGTATTCAAGCTACTGTGAAAACTGTTTCTTTTTAAGTTATGGCTCAGGGCGAAGTAACTATAAGAACAAATCGAGGTACAGTTCGATATAAAAAATAAGAAAAATTATTAATTAAAATAAACATGAAAAATGAAATCCTAATGAATAATATCTAAATCTGAATCTATGGTAAAAATAATTATTATCTGTATTCTGTTGAATTGACAGTAATTACTTGATTGAGTGCCTGTTACAAATATGAGTCAAAGTATATGTTTTTAGTAATAACTTTTAAAACCAAATATATTCACTAAACCTAAATTTTGTTTTAGGTTTAAATTATATTAAATATTTTAAGATTCTTATTTAAAAAAAATAAACTAAATTTGAGTTGACCGGATATACTGTTGGCAGACATGTTGATTTGTCAGGAGGCGATTTTGTCAATTATTCGTCAAAAGTATTTTGTTTAGAAAGATTTGTACAAAATTATATAGTAAAAATCTAGTGATAACGTGCTGTGTACCGTGATAATAGAATAATGTTTGATATATATTTACTTTATTAGATTTAATAAGAAGAAACTTTTTGGTCCTTCGTAGATATCGGTAAGTGTTGCGTTAATATTTCTTGTTACTCTTTTTAAGTATTAATTCAACCTAGTCACCGTTTCATGCACAGTTCGACGGACCTTCACCTCGTCTGAACGTGTTATAATGAATCCGCTTTACTCTTATACGACTTTGACGTGCAAGTTAACATGAAAGGAAATTATATTTAGGCCGTGAATATTATAGTGTTTGTTTGTGTATTTACGTTTTGGATTATTGTATTGTGACGTCAACCGGCTGTGAGGTGAAAAATCTTAGTATTCGTGCAGTTTGCGATATGATAAAACTTTATCTATACCTGATAGCTATGATTTAGATTGGTGCCTCATTTCTTATTGTAGACTCAAGACCTATAATATATTTTTAAGTTTTTAGTTTTGTGATATTACGCTTGATTAGCTCATTAAGGTAAGAGTTTTTATCAGTATTAATTCATTAATACATTTTCTTAAACAAGGTCTGTTTTAAAAGAACATACGATTGCTTATGTAGCTTAAGATTACAGCTAAAGATTTTGATGTTTCACCGCAGCTTTCACCATCATAACTGTAATAGATATTATTTATTTATACATTTTTAAAACCCAATATTAATAATTAAGTTGTGTGTAACTTTTTAAATATAATAATTTTAGTTAATATGAACACTTAATGTAATCATTATAGGAAATGATATCTGACTTCATGTCTACATTTCAGAAGTTTTGTTCAAATATAAAGTACATCCATGTCTCACATAAAGTAGAGAGTAGTACTGATTCAAATTACTTTATTAAAATCTGAAAGACATAATGTAAAAAATATGTGAAAAGTACAAAATTATAAGAATTTAACACTATATAATAATGTTTTGTTTGATTCTTTAACTTTAATGGTGTATGTTCATTTGAAAATTGTATTGTCTGATAGCATCACAGATTTGTGACTTTTTAGAATACCTTTGTCTTTAGTTTAATTAAGACCCTTAAATTAATTTTAACCTAGTATTAGTGTATATAGTGTATATGTGGAATAAGTGATTCATGTATCTTATGTTCCATAATAAACATATATAATATTATTATTTATTATAATATTATTGTTCTTACAACTCAATTCATTTATCAAGTCAGATATTTTGTTTATTAATTTGATATGATAACATTCAGATGTGCAGATAACATTATATTTTTCAGATCACACTTGTGTATGTATATTTCAATAGCCCCTTCTTTCTTATTGTGTACTAAATAATAAACGTAACCTATTATCATTTATTAACTACTAAGTACCTTAACAAGTTATAAGGTTATGTATGTATTTCATCTTACCATGTGAAGATGCAACAAAACAAATATAAACAGAATCATGTAATTTTGATTTTGCAGACATTGTTTTGCCTTAATTTCTGTACAGCAGTAGTAAATATCACTAATTTTGTGTGTCATTTAATATCAATATTTATTTATAACTGTATAAATCAATATAAATATTGTTATTAAAGTTGATACTGTTGTAAAATGCCTTTATATTTTAGATACATATAACTTTTCATAATGGCAATGCTATTGTGTTAGCATCTTACACATTCTCTCTCATAAAAGTGTTACTGTTACTTTTACACAACCCTTTAGAGGAATCTGTGCTCGTTAGATACGACTAACGCGTGACATCGTATTCACGATCTAACTGTAAGGGAAACCTGTCTCACCTTATCTAAACTAGTCTATCGTCACATTAAATGACTCTTGTTGACGTTAAATACTACCGATATTATAAGACACCAAGTTTATGAATAATATTGCTCTTAAAACCATCACACTGAAACTTATTAAATTTTATTTTATAAAAATTTTCTAGCTTATTTTAATGGACGAAAGTTTTTGTGGCGCGCTTTTTCTTTCATTCTCATCTGACGTTATGATACAGTTAAGGGATTAATTAATGACCAGAGAATATGTACGTATAATAGATGTATGCGAGTGAAGCCACAGGTCGCAGCTACTTAGTATAATTAAATGAGTAAAGTCAGGGTTAAGGTTACCCTCGACCGGCCATAGGACAATCGATCCTCACTATATTTAGTTTGTTTTCCTTCCGTATCCACGTGATACGCCACTTAGTTATTCTATTCAGGTATTTGAAGGCTATCTAATGCTTTGCCTAAAGGTTACAAACCGCTTTCATTTTGTTTTCTATTTCACGTTCGAATTAATATAACAAAAAACTCAGGAAAGTCGACGAAATTATTAAATTACAATTACATAAGCGTTACGATTTCTTTCCACTTTGTATTAAATATGTTTATCATTTAACATTTATCCAAAATTTGAAATAAGGAAACTTATTTAGCTGATAACTGTGATATTATAATTTTCGTAGAAGTCTGAGTCATACAGGATTTCTATGTAATTGTGATTTACCCACCTTTACCTTACCTATACCGATTACGTTCTAGGTAAACGAGAACATGAAAAATATTCGAGGTGAATTTTTGAAAAATCGATGCGGTATTGTAACCTCAGCCCACGAGGTTGAATGTTAAAAAACGTTGCAAGAATATTAAGGTTATCTTGTTTTTTGGAATATAAGATTGGTTTTGCCTTAACAACCGGAGGTTTATCTTTTAAAATATTGTACGTGTCGTACATAGTTCTGTCTACGTATATATGTGATAATAAATATTTACTAAAAAGGACGATCCCATAGGATCCCGTCCATGTGTAGAAAACACCAAACTACCTATCTCGACAAGTAGTGTTTGGTATTCAGTTTCAAGAAGACCTTTAAGAGTATTATAACGTTTTCGGTGTTTATGTTTTGATAAAAAATGGCACTAACTTATGAGTCACTTACGTCAAGGTTGCATTTATCAGAGCGGTCATCTTCTACGTCACGAGATATTGCTTCAGTACCGAATAAAAAATGTTAAATATTTCTAACAATCTGTCAGTGACGGTAATGCAAGAACGAAGCAACGGATTAGATTAGTGGTTGCCTGGAAGAGATCGCTCGAAAGCGATAAGGCCGCCAGTTGCCCTCCTTTTTATTTCATTATGTTAATTGTATTATGTTTCTGCAACGAAGTGTTAATAAATAAATAAATAATAACAAAATATATATTATATAATATAGTTGTGACAAAATACACAAATCACCCGTCGAAGTGATTTACTATTTCCAATAGGCAATCAAATGTCGAGTTTCTGCTTCCTTTGTAAAAAATAAGTATTTCCTGTAATCTACAAGGCATTTCCTCGCTGTTATAGTCGCGCCGCGAGGCGGATGAATAAAACAATATTTAAATGTTGTAACAATAGCGATCACAAAGAGCATTCATAAAAGACAAAACTCAACTTTTCCTCTATTATTTTGACCATACTGTTGTCTGGCAAATAAAATTTACTCTAATATTGGTGTTCTTTTAAATGTTTATTTTTAGATGTTTCCAGCAAGGTCCAACACTCGGAAAATAATTTATAATCATTAAACGAGGAAACAATATATCGTTACATAATAATTTATTGACCAGCGATCTATCAGTGACTTTCTTCCGACTCTGTACAACGAGATAAGAGTAAAACCATTGTCTCCCATAACAAGCGCTTAATAATACGGTATAATATGACACAAACCGACAACAGAACGACGGACGTGTCTTGTACGATACAACACATGATCGAGGTGAACGTCCGATACTCTGACATTTACCTGATTTGTGGCGCTTTAGGCATTTTAACGGCCTTAAAGCATTGTTGGCCTAGTGGCTTCAGCGTGCGACTCTCATACCTGACGTCGTAGGTTCGATCCCCGGTTGTGCACCAATAGACTTTCATTCTATGTGCGCATTTAACATTTGCTCGAACGGTGAAGGAAAACATCGTGAGGAAACCGACATGTCTTACACCCAAAAATTCGACGGCGTGTGTCAGGCACTGGAGGCTGATCACCTACTTGCCTATTAGATTGAAAAATGATCATGAAACAGATTCAGAAATCTGAGGCCAAGACCTAAAGGGGTTATAGCGCCACTGATTTATTAATTATTTATTTAATTGCATTTGATAGTTTTGCAATAGTTGTACATACCTACGTTGTACTTGTGACGTATCGTAATCGTCAGCTTCCTGGTTGACGAGGCCGTAATGTAACAGTAGGTGTGTGCAAATAGTCCTTTTTATCTGCTTTGTTTCCGTTATTGTGTGCGAAACATGAGTTCCTTGATATTGACGTCATATTCGAAATACTCGAAGTCGTATTAATTGATAATAATAGATAGGTAGGTATTATGTAAAGGTAAATAATGGAAAGGGATTGATCCCGTGGCCTATTTATTTTCAAAATTAGTAATGTAACATCGTAGCATCACATAGAATCGTAGTATAATTATAAAAAAATTCTGTTGTTTGTCGTTGTTGACAGTGCGTCTACAAATTCCCTATGCTTCATCTAAAAGCTGCGCCCTATATCGTACCACATAATTTTGTAAAGTCTAAAAATAGTTCTAGCAAGATTTTTAAGTTAATAATAGTATTAGAAAAACGGTGAAGTTGGTTTAATCTCGAGAAACGATGATTGACGATTCACTTACGATTAATCTTCAACACTTATTGATGATTATACAATTTTACCTGTATAAGGTAAAACTGGTTCGGTTTAGATTCCTTACGTAATGTGTTATTTGCTACATGTGCTATGTTATAGGTATGTGAGAGTTACACAATACATACGTTACTTTATCTATTATATTATTGGTGATAGACATAGAAGTCATCAAAAAATGGATAAATATAGGCATACATTCGTTTTAGAATGTATATATAACTAATAGATACTTTTTATTATTGAACATCTGTGTTGTTATTTTTATTACTATTTTGGTGAGTCATTAGGAAATAATCATTATCTCTACGTTATCTAAAAGATAAGCGCTGTTTTTTATACCTTAATTCAAATCAAAAGAAGACTCTGTGTTACCTTAAACACTGAGTCTTCTTTTGATTTCGAATTGTTGAGACATTGGTAGAGCAGTGTTGGCCTAGTGGCTTCAGCATTCGACTCTCATCCTCATCTGAGGTCGTGGGTTCGGCCCCGGCTGTGCACCAATGAACTTTCTTTCTATGTGCGCATTTAACATTCGCTCGAACGGTGAAGGATGAAACACCGTGAGGAAACCGGCTTGCCTTACACCCAAAAATGCGACGGCGTGTGTCAGGAACAGGAGGCTGATCACCTACTTGCCAGTTGCCTATTAGATAAGTAAATAATCATGTAACAGATACGAAAATTTGAGGCGTATTTGTTTCGTACCTAAAAAGGTTGTAACGCGACTGATTTTTTCCTGATGAAACATTGGTTGTCAGCACTGAGTAGTGGTTAGTACTGGCTAATCAGGTCACCTAATATTCAGCTTATATAAGACCAATGTATAAACCTGACCGCCCGGCGACAGTTGCAAAGGTTTCCACCCACTTTATCAGGCTGCAAACACTTGTTACATAACACTATTAACAATTATTGTCCCATACCAACACAATTCTTCGATCTTTCTATATATTAAGCGAGTTATATGTTTTATATGATTAGTGTTAACTTGCTTAAAACGTTATACCGTAAATTTAAAGGCAAAATGCGGCTGTATCGGAGACATAGGTCGAAACAACACAGCTTAGTGACAGCGTATTCGAGTATGTTGACGTAATGTGTTTATAAGTTACAGTTACTCCTAAAAATTCACAATTAAGAGCTGTATAAGCAAATATTGCTAATATTAACAGACCAATTTTAAATTCTTTGTTCATCAGTAAAAGTGATGACATTATATCTCTGATATGATAATGCCGCGCTAGATAAGTTGATGGCATTGTATTGAAACAAACGAATTAACAACACATTGCAAATTTTAATATTTGCACAGATTAAACGTTTTCGAGAACAAAATATTATTTGTAAGCAGCGTTTTTGAGATGAAATTTACCGCCTGTTTTGGTCACTTGGTTATGCACTTCGTAAATGATTCTGAAAGAGAAGCAAAGGCGGCTGGTAACATTGTTGTCTAGTACATAGTGGAATGTACAAAGAGCAAGAGAAGCCGTAAATAAAGGTAGTCGTGTATTGGTGTAATCGCCAGTCACCGTATCTCATCCCGCGATACCAAAGCGTAACGAACTGTTTTGCGCAGGTCAATGGCACTGTAAAATTAAATTTTATCTAAACGTAGCGTGGCTTGTTTATGACGCCCAGACGTTTGCTCAACTTTCTTTGTTATTGCTAAAGATAAGCCACAGTTCTGCAAAAGCAATTGTGTTTGCCAATTTATTTTAAAAAATCTTCGTTTTTGTATTATACGCTATTATTTTACATATCAACTATTGTTCGATTACATAGTCATTTGTATATTCCTATATATTACAGCGGTCATTTAATAATTTCTACAATATTATCTCGATTTGCAGAAACTGTTTTTTTCTGTTAATTATGACTTATTAAGAACTCAGCCTACGAGATTGTCGACAGTGTTTTTTAACGAAGACACGATGTAATTTCAGGCCTCCCTTCACGGGGAAGAAATGCAAGTAAACGTGGCGGGGCTAAGGAGAAATATTAAGAACCTCGCGCACAACTACTCTGATGCTCAGGTAAAGACATTTAATTATTTACCTTGGAATATCTGTATATCTTATGAAGTGAGCTATACACATATTAAACGGCCAAAACCGGAATATCCTTACAATAATTAAAACAAAGACTTTTGCCCTACTTCGTGGAGAAACAAAAAAAAGAACACTTTAGTGGCGTCAGCTGTGATAACCGGAACTCACAACGCTTCCTTACCATTCGTTAAAAACCCGAGGAAAAGGGGGGGGGGGGGGGGGCCAAAAAGGAAGGGGAGTTGTTTCTCGACGCATGCTAAGTGAATACATTTGAGTTGCAAGTCTCGTGTTGCGGATTTGAATTTCACGGACAACTAACGACAACGTAGTTCCCAATATCTTCATTTTTTTAAAAGTTTTGTACGAATGTGCCTCAGGTAAAAGTGCGCGAAGCGACATCGAACGACCCATGGGGCCCATCCAGCACTCTGATGGCGGAAATCGCCGACCTCACCTACAACGTGATGGCCTTCACCGAGATCATGCAAATGATCTGGAAGCGCCTCAACGACCACGGCAAGAACTGGCGGCACGTGTACAAGGCCCTGGTCCTCATGGAGTACCTCATTAAGACCGGCAGCGAGAAGGTGGCCATGCAGTGCAAGGAGAACATCTTCGCCATACACACCCTCAAAGACTTCCAGTATATGGAGGAGGGGAAGGACCAAGGTCGGTTGTGAGTTGACTTTTAGCTAAGTATTCAGCGCCACTCGCATTACTCCGTCGTAATTAGTAATACAACACCGAAGCAGCCGAATGGCGAGGAGCTACAGTCGATCAGCCCTTGAGAGGCTTCAGGCGCTAATCGCTTTATCAAGTTTAAAGTTCGATTGCTCATTTGGTATCAATTACTTTATTAGTCATTATGTTTGGTTACGTCATGTCGAACATACAAACCTCGTGGTGCGACATTGCAGCAGATTTCACATAAGATCTGAGCTACATTTGTGAATTATTCTCTAACAAAAATAGTTAAAAATTATGCCTAACAATATATTTTAATGCAGTCCATTCTATCCAAAAGAAACACTAGCACTAGTTAGTATTAAGTGGTGCATTATATTTTATATTAAATAATTTAATGAAATTGCATCTTGATTGCATTGACAGCCAGTTAATTACACAATTGATAAGCTAATGATGAAATTTGGCACAAGGTGACATTTATGTTGCCGAAACCAGTCTCCGATTCATTAATATTCTAAATACTTATGAATAATTATTTTCATTAGAATATTATTGAAATCTAACACACATTTTCCCGTTGTTTATGAATTATTTTGCTTTACTCCGTGGCAGTTGCAAATCACCTCTAAATAGGCTTTTGACAAGCTTTTAATGAGAGAGCTTTTCAGATTATTTATTATTGACTATAGAACCTATACAAATGATTTTCTTTAAAATTCAAATAAAACATATACACGGTTCTTACAACCGTCTAAAAGGTATCGCGCTTTTAATTGTGTTAATTATCGTTTTGTGATTTATATTTAATTACACAAATACGACGAAATGAACCCCAAGACAGCTACGTCATCGTCCTTTTGACTAATCCTGATCGTTTTGAGTCACCTTACTGACGTATAAGAACAATATTTTTAATTATTTGATAAATTAATGATTTTTGAATCCATGTTTTATACAGATTACCCTTAATTTATGTTAATAATTTAATTAATATATGTTAGTACCTCCTCATTTTTAAAGAGGTATCTCGACTTGATTCTACAAGAACTATAATGTCTTAAAACACATCCGTACAAATTCCAGGTCTAAACGTGAGAGAGAAGGCGAAACAGCTGGTGCACCTGTTGAAAGACGAGGAGAGACTGAAGAATGAGAGAGCGCGCGCTCTCAAAGCGAAACAGCGCTTCGCTCAGACGGCCAGCGCCTTCGGCAGCGATGGCGCGCTCGACACGCCCTCGAGCCCCACCTATCCCGCGGTAAGACTCCCTCAACGACTCAGCCGTCAATATTGCATTGTTTATATTGATTACTAGCGACAAGCCCCGGCTTCGCACGGATGCAATGCTGATACTAAATTTAAAGTGCTATTGAGTATAGGGAGAACCGCGGTCTCTGACGCGCTGCGTCCCGCAATTTTTAAATTTGTAATATCTTCGAAAATATTCATTTAAATGATATCCTGTAAGGGTCCATATAGATCTATATTAAATCAACATTGTATTTAAGGTATTTAATTAGATAAGGATTAATGCTGAATTGGTTAAAGTCGCTTCGAAAATTAGCCATTATTGGTCGTAAAAAGTAAATGACAAAGAAATGTTATGTGGGATATTCATAAGAGATGGACATATTCCATCGCGGAGTTTCTGTAGACATTTTCAATGTGTACATTACTTAGTACATTATTTTCATAAATCTCGTAGGGTTCGCAATGTAAGCGGAAAATGTAATTATTCACGATTTACGACATCACATTAGAAACCTCAAAAATAACAGAATTTCTCCATCCATAGTTAATGGATGTTATTATACATATAAACCTTCCTCTTCCACAAAAAAACCGCATCAAAATCCGTATACTATGAAGTGAAAATCCATGGTTAAAATATTTATTTCCCGTAGCTAAGCGGCAGTGGCGAATGGGCCAGCAGCGGTCCCGGGAACGGTCGAGAGTCGGAGTTGGCCCGGCCGCTGACGGCGGGAGAGGAGGAGCTGCAGCTGCAGCTGGCCCTGGCCATGTCCCGCGAGGAGGCCGAGCGGGAGGAGAAGCGGCGAAGGTCGGACGACGTTCGGCTGCAGCTCGCGATCAGTCAGTCGCAGAACGACTTCCAGTGAGTGATATCGACTCCTCTACTTCTGAATCTTACCTTACGTCATGCCGAACACGGTCCGGGCAGACGGCAAAAAGTCAAAGTCAAAATCATTTAATCATATAGGTAACACAATGTACACTTATGAACGTCAAAAAAAGAAATGTATATGAAATGCTTCTAACTTTACATTTTGTGCCAGTTCTCAAATCGAGGGCGTAGAACGGAAGAGAAGAACTGACAATAAACCCTCCGCCACTCTTTTTAATCGCCATGTTTTTTTTAGCTATAGCATTCGCTAAAAAGTTTTTGTGACTGCTATGAGGCAAGTGACAATAATAAGTAAGAGACGTTCGAGGCATGCTTCTACTGAATGTAAATGATCTTCACTTGAAATTACCATTATGTTGTCAATTTTCTTATATTCCGTGATGGTAAGAAAAAAAAATATTCATTCTCCAATTCGTATCTCGAGTGACCTCGGAACCACGGCCTCTGGCACCTTCGGATGTCCAGAATTAACAAAGAAAAACGGCTTGAGAGATTAACTAAGTTAACGTTTTACTTAGAAAAAGACCATTTTAACCCTCCTAATCCTCGAATCCGCTCCCAATAGACTGCCCCAGTTCCTGATGTCCCAATTGCGTCCGGCCCGTGCCCCGATGCGGGACCGACTCCTCGCGTGGGACGAATACTACGAAATCTATACGAAAGTAATTCAGTTAGTGATCATTGGTTGAACTTGCGTAGAAAGTAGATATTTCTTTATTAGAAAAAATATTAAGTTATAATTAGTTTTATTAAATATTTAATAATAAATACCGCAACAGACTATTTACTTCTCTTACTCGGTGACGTTTCATTTACAACTTGGACGTCTTTGGCACTTTACTAGGCCTGCAAAGTTGCGTGTACTTATATAATGATTTTAAAGTTTTGCAGGAAGAAAAAAGAAAGAAATACTAACACAATAACCTTAATCAAAAATGGGCCAACACTGATTTTCAGCGCTGTGTTACGGTGCTTCAGCTTTTGCTTGTTAAACTATTGTTAATTCATTCATTTAACAATTGATGTCTACGACTCAAAGCGGTGCATTACCTAAATCTACGAGCGGTCCGACCCAAGAGTACAAATTGATCCGCTTTACGTGCAATATAAAATAGTGGAAATCATTTTAATTTTATCCTAAACTCGAGAGCGATACTTTCCGGTCCTTCGAGCCGGATAAAATAACAATTACTAAACTAATGTATGACGTTTTCATTCCAGGTCACCTGGAGCGACAGGCGGTGAGAAAAAGCCCGCGAGCAACGGTCAATCTCACCTGCTGGACCTGCTGGACGTCTCTCTGGGACCTCCTCAGCCGACCGTCGACCCCTGGGGCCTGCCGGGGGAGAAACCTAAACCGGTACGAACTACCTCTCGAATATGATATACAATTGAAGCTTTACTTAATAATTTGACTTGGTTTTTCTAGAAATAATGAGATAAAATAATACACAATGTGTTCTTTTAGCCTGATACGTTGGATATCAGTATATTTACGGATTCGATGGTAAGAAATGGTGAAGCCCGTATTCCTAAACGCATCTCGAGTCACTTGACGTAGATCGTATCAATATTTAGATTAAATTATATACTAATTTAGAATAACTTGCTACGAAAGAACAATATACAGGGTTATATTAAACCCCGTAAATTTTACAATTTCGAAATTAAATTTTCGTCTCATTTAATTTAAACATCTAAAGTGTGAGTTTCGTTTCGGAACAAGGTCCAAAGTCCCTGGAAGTAAATATGCTAGACCGTTTGCGTAACGCCGTAACGAGATTGTCTTAATCCCATTGCCCCGAGGCCGACGTAACATTCGTCCTAAGCCCTAAGCCCCTAATGCCATTATGCCGCTCCAAATGCTAGTTAATCTTCGATTTTCTTTTACAACATTTTCGTGTACATTCACCAATCTGGCTAAACCCATTTCTTATATTACCCAATTAAATATTTGCTTCAAAATTCAGTACATCTTAAAAGCTTAAAAATATGTCTCATAATATTACTGTAAAGGTGCGCTTACACGAGGGCAATAATTGTTTGGCGACACGAATGGACCGATCTGGAGCAATTTGAATCAATTTCAATAAATTATTTCGGCGATATTGTTTCTAATTGCTCCAGATATTTCATATCGCTCAATGTCGCAGATACGAATTGACGAATATCCAATGGACTTGGAAATTCCTAGCAATTTTTGTATATGTCTCATTCGCACTTGTTTGTTTTGCGGCTTGCCGTCTTGCTTCCGCGGGGAGAGCGAGAGGTCTAAATAATAATAATAAGTCTTCAAAAGTAATCGTGTCGTGACATTCTAGTAAAGTTTTTAAATAATATATCATCTTTACATAATGAAAATTTTGTCCTATTTGCCAAAAGCGATCGCACCCAGATACGCCTATTCCTTTTCTTTCTTTTTTGTTTTTGATTAATAATAAAAAAAGCGCTACAAGCCGCCGCAGCAACAACAATGTCGTCCATAGCGAGCGAATACTGAAATGCTCGTGTAGGAGCGTATTGCCTAGTTGATGAAGTTGCACCATATCGCCAATTTGCAGTATTGATGCTTGTTACCGTTGCCGTAAATTGCTTGATGTAGTCGTGACATCATAATTGACGAGTATTGACTGGAATTGAGCAATTTTAGTTGCCCGTGTAAGCGCACCTTAATACTATAAAAACTCTATTGATAGAATCCATTACATTATAATAAAATTAAATCTCTTTATCTAAAAGAATGATTAAATATAATAACTATTCGATTTTTAAGTTACTTATTAGTTAATATTTGACTTCCAGGACACGAGTTCCGAGGCGTGGTCGGGCGTGAACAGTCCGGCCCGGGACCCTTGGGCTCCGGCCGCCCCCGACGCCGACCCTTGGGCCCCGCTGGCACAGGTATGAGTTGCTATTCTCTTGAGAGGTGATAGAGAGGAGTCTCTCGGAGAGGAAAGAAAAACTAGACAAATCAATGTACACTGAACATTTTGCTCATTCGGGCTTTTTAACATAATAAGCATAGCGTTTAATTAATTAGCATTTCGTAGCTTTATTTCGAAACCGTTGCTAAACGAAAATTTTAGGAAATATAGTTATCAATGCCATTTTGTAACATGTCTATTTAATTCCCAGTATTTTGTTAGATGGTGCTAAATTTAAACTTTATTAAACTGAAATCCAAAACATAGTTATTAGCGAAACCGTTGCTACACCAGTTGTCACTTAGCACTTACGGGATCGACTTTAAAGTTTATAAAAATAGTGAGACTATTTGTTTAGCTCTGACAGATTTTGACATTCATGTAAATTATATACTTATATATATTTGATATAGTGTGTTTTTTAGTTTAGTCAACTAGACATCAATGCTAAATTTACTAGATTTTGAATATAGTAATTGAAATATTAATTATTGCAAAAGTGTTACTATAAAAGCTAAAGTTACCGTGAAAAAGTAATCATAGAAAATATTGACTGCACATCTTAAAAAGAAGCCGATCATTTAACAAATAAACTCAAAAATATCTCTTTTATATAAATAGGTAAATAATTATGCAAAAATCGTAAATTCTTTCTCCTGTAAAATTTAGTTATTTTGTTTCGGTTTCGAAATCAAGATGCGATTTGATATGATGTACACGAATGTTAAATTAAATTATATTTATTTTTATTTAATGAATTGCGCCCATTTTGCTGCTTGCGACCTCTCAAACAATCAAAGTGCAAGTTTAATTTTATAATAAATACTTGTCAATATTGAATACCGTGACTAAGTCGAAGAAGGCAAAATAACATTGCTTGAGCTACTTTTAATGCTTAAAAATTGTATTTTGCAGAGCAAGAGTCCGATTTCCGTGATTTCCTCTCCGTCTTCGGACTTGGAGCAGTTCGACGCTTTGTCTCAGAGACAGAAAACGCAGAACAACCACGAGCAAGATCCCTTCGACCTCTCCGGGCTGGGTCAGTTGTTACTCATTATCGATAAGAATAGAAGAAGAAAGAGATTATTAAAAAGTGATCGTTCTCTTCCAGGTGGCAAACTGAGTCCGCCCATATCCAGCGGCACGGGCGCCATCAAGAAGTCCCCGTCGGCCTTCCTGGGCGAGAACTCGTCTTTAGTGAACCTGGAGCGTCTCCTGCAGCCCGCGGCCGCCGCGCCCCCCGCCGCGCCGAACCCCTTCGCCCCCCTCGGACCCCTCGGACCCCAAGCGCCCGAGACCCCGAGGCAGATGTTCGCGCAGCCGCAGCCGGTGAGCTATTTTACAATACGCCGCTTAGTGTCTCGTCTGTTGCGCAGGTCGGGTGTTTGGTTTCCAGCGAAACAATGAATAGACTCACTTTCAAATAAGATCAACGCAAAAGCCCCAAAAATGAGTCCGTCCCGGGCCCCATTAAGGAGAGTTACACTAATGATAATAATTTCCAGGCAAAACTATCAATAAACGAAATCAAGCAGCAGCAAATGGGTCTGGCTTCCAACATGAACTTCCCCAGTTCCTCGCCCGCCTTCAACGCGCCTCTGAACATGGCCGCCCCCATGCCTCCTCTGCCCAATAACATGGGGTCGATGCCGACGATGCCCCCCTTGGGGAGCACTATGCCCCCGTTAGGTAGCAATATGCCGCTTAGCGGGGTTCCACTCTCAGGAGCGCCTTTAGGTGAGTTAAAGTGTAATTTTTTCCCTCAATTGTGTGAAGTCAGAGTAAAATCTTTTTAAGCTATTGCATAGATTTTATCGCGGGCTTTGACCGATCGTAATATAGGTGCGGCCAATACGCTTTAGAGCGGGACAGAACGCATACTGCGTATTCACATCTCTCTGACGAGATCGGTGACGTAGCGTGAGCGTTAGAGGGAGACAGACTATATAGGCGTTTTAGTCTGAGTCTGGTAGAGTGGTGGATTGAATTAATATAAAAAAAGGGTGCGTGTACTTATGTACGCGCGTAAGAAGTTATACTTCTTTGGCTTTCTTTATTTTTTTTAAATATTAAATAATTAATAACAAATATTTAACGTTAATAATTTAATAATATTTAGTATATTATTCAATTATTAATTAATAATAATTATTATTTTATTATATTATTCATTCAATTTAATAACTAAGTATGTTTCATAACCTTTTAACTAAGTAACAATAGGTCTTTGTGAAAAAGCATTGCTAAATTTCTTTGCAAAAATAATTAAAACTGCTTTATTTGTTTCAAAGGTCATTATGGTCATTCAAAATTCTTGGCATAGCTGCTAACTTCACGCATATTCTTTAAAAAGAATTCGTTAGTGGGCAACTTCATACTGATAATTTTGTGTCACGGTGCGCGCGCATCGTAAAATTTCACTCTCATAAATTTTTCGCAACGCGCCTAAAGAAGTATAACTTCAAAAAACTTGAAATATTATCAAAGAAAAAAAATACTGCATAAATAAAAAATTATAATTGCGTAAGTTGATAAAAAATGCTATGCAATAGCTTCACCGCGGCAGTCCCCGAGTTCCACACGTTTTTTTTTTCGCTGTGTCTGATGAAATCTTCATAAATTATGTAATTTGCAAATTTACAACAAGATTAAGATGAATATTAGTTCCTTTTAGGCCAAACGGTACCTTTGAATATTTTTTGTAGCATTGAGTGGTCTTAACACGTTGCAGGTGCAGCCGACCCGTGGTCCCCGTCTGGGGCTCGCGCTGCGTCTCCGTGGTCTCCGCCCCCCGCCCGCCACACGCCCAACCCTTTTCTTTCCTAGCCACGGGTAAATATTTTATTAACGCTCTATACGTATATTCAGTCTTTGCCAGCTCCATATTTAAGTATTACCTTTCGTTTGAAGTCGGTTAAATCCGGTGAAACTCTTCGACGAGACTCTCTATCGAAATCTCAGTTAAATGTTCTCCTTCAGTTTGAGGCCGGAGCGACCTGAAGCCGGTCGTGATGCAGAGAGGCGTGAGCGACGAACGGACAAACACCGCGTCAGTGCTACAGCTGTTTTTATATTTACCTGATTATTTATTCACTGCGAAACCGTTCACCGTACTCACTCGCCAGGGTTGCCCGCGTACGTCGGGCGGTTCAAGAGTTTACTTCTTAAGTGTCCAATATTTTGGGAACCCTAAGCTTCTTCGATTAGTTCAAACCCTCCCGACGCCGTCGTGTCATTTAGAAGTGACTAACGGATTCGAGAACTTAAATCCCTTTCTCTTTATCGCCTTCTCTAATTGTAAATAAAGCCGAGTGTCCGACTATGAAGAACACCAATTAAGATAACTTAACTCGCAAAATGGTTGTTAACCGCTCGGAAATCGCAGATAACGTTCGATCGGTAATATTATAGGGTTTAATGTAAATGACTAGTTATAACGAATAGCAATATACAAGTCCAGAACGACTCGGCCGTTATCAGTTTCGAGGAAGTCGGCGGCTGCGCAAGAGTCGTTTCGTAAGAGTCAATCATTACTTTTGTTTCTCGCAGCCTGCGTATTGGGCCCTGCAGAGAAAACAAGCATCCTCCCTCAAAGGGAGCGTTCAAGTATTACGTCACGCAATTTTTGGAGATTATTGACTCCCCCCCCATGTAACGCGCCGTAACGTTTTCTGTACCCAAGTATAGTAAAACGTTTCGTGACCACCTAGTGACTTTTTATATCTAAATTACCATTATGTGGTGTAAAGTACTGGAAAGTCGAAAATAATATTAACAATAACGCGTAATTCAATCCCCACCCCGAATCGTAACGTTTTACAAAAGGAAGAAAAATTCGTTAAGTAAAATAAAATAAAAAAAAAAATATGTTTATTATGGAACATAAGATACATGTATCACTTATTCCACGTCATTAAATTTGAAGGCATCCCTACTCATCGGCAAAGAAGACAGAGGGTGTAGGCCGAGAGAAAAAGCCGGCGTAAAACTCTCGGTACTCGTTTAGTAATACTTGAACGCTCCCAAAGGTCGGCAACGCCCCCGCCGTCGTGGGTGTGTCCGGGCCGTTGGGATCGCCGTTTACGGAGATCCCGTCGGCTCGTTTGCTCCTTTAAAAAAACTAGTCTCGTAGTGACGCCCCGCCTCCGCCGACGTCCTCACGAACGGGAAGAAGTCAACGTGCCTTAAACGCTCCTCTCAACTCGCTTCACTCCCGACTCTCGTAATAGGACTGATTACCGTAAGCTATTAGTTTGGCCCGGAGCTCCCTGTGTTACCCCGCACGGAATTATTTCGATGAAACGAGCCGATCTCGGAGTAATTTCGATAGAGGCCTTCACTCGTCTTGGCAGAAATTGCTTTTGTCAAATCGTCAGACTTATAAAAGTGAGCCAGAAATACATCCTCGTCAGAGCGAGACCGGTATTCTAAAACATTTTCTTTTATACAATTTTGAGTGAATGTGAAATTCTATACGTTGTGTGCAAAATCGCTAGTTTTTAATAACTTAGGTTTCACGCTATCGTTTTAGAATACGGGTCTAAATCGTGTTTGGATTATGTTAGGTACTTGTAACCTCGCCCACAAACAAACTTTGTTAATCTGCGGAAAATCGTCGTTAAATATTTAGTTAGAAATGTCAGTATTTTAATTAAGCTTATTGTTTTTCTGAAACGACGCGCCTTTATATTTTTTTTACGATTTGTAGTCTGTGCTAATTTACCTTCGGTATTTTTGTTTTATGAAGTCATAGATCAAATTCGATTTTGGAACGTCAAGTCGACGGCCGCCATATTGTTCGGGGCTAAAATGGCGGGAATATGCTTATGTAATTGTTTGAGAATATATTACGTAAATTCTTTGTATATGTTTTTGCTTATTACATTTTTATGAGTAGCGGTTTTATGGTTATCGATTATTGTTTATCAGTTATTTAGTTAAATTATTATTTTAATATATTATTAATTTTGACCAATAAAATGCATCGACACTAATCCAATGTCATTTAGCTAGGGGAACTGTAAAGATTATTGTAACTATTTAATTAAAATATATAAGTTTTTCAGTAAAGTCTTATTTTTCAATCCCTATCCACGAATTAGGCATTATTCATGTGTGACTTTTATAAAAAACAGGAATGTCGATACTATTATAGGTTAAGCAGGCATTTTATAAAAAGGACCACTGAGTATTGCAAAATGGACTGAATCAGAGTGGTCTCTTTATCTAACGACTTCGGAGGAGATGTAACCTACGGAAACGTAACATCATTTTTGGGATATCAGGAGATATTGTGGGTAAAAGCAGTGATGGCCTAGTGGTTTCAGCGTGCAGCTTTTCATCAGTGTGGTTCGACCCCCGTTGCAACAGTGAACTTTCCTAAGTGCTCATTCGACACTCGGACTAGTGTTGCGCACTATGACACACTCAAAGTTGTAAAATGTCCCATCACTTCAAACACACATTTTGTACCGCTTCAAACTCGTTGAGGTAGTTGCTATTATTTTGTAACATATGACTTAATTTTTTAATTTAACTTTTCTTACCTTTTCTTAAAATAAAATTATTAAAGGTATTAAATAAAAATAGGCAACTATTTTTTATGTAATACCTATTTTTTTGTTTTTTAGTTACATAAACAGGTGGTTCAAAAGTTTTAATTAAAATTATTAATATATCGATCTGAATTGTTTTCTGTGTGGATCGTGATAAAAGTACTTCGGATTAATATATTTTATCTATATATAGCTTAATGTTTTAACTTAATTAATATCAATCTAAATTTATATTTTAATAATCTAAATAATCCGAAAATATAATTTTATTTATTAAAATATCAAAAGATATCAGCTGTTACTTCATTGTCATGAGGCAACATCAGTCACCTCACAACCACACGTTTGACGTATCGTGCATAAAAGTACTAACAGTACAGAACGAGGTCCTCAAATGAGGTGGGAAATACAAACACTTCAATTTCGTTTGTCCTACCCATCACTAACTCGGACGGTGAAGGTAAACAACGTGAAGAAAACGGTATGTTTCAAATCCGTAAATCGACGACACGTCAGACAGAAGACAGATCACCTACTTTGTCTATGATATAAAAGTTGAGTTGTAGCGCCTCTTTTCCATTACACGGTTTCTCGCCGTGAAAATCTACGGTTAATTCGCCGCGTGTAGGCACGGTCGTCAGTGTGGTATGGATCACTATATGAGCTTGTCGACATGCACGGTGGCGCCAAGGCACGGCGCCGCGGCCGCGTGAGTAAAGGAACGGCAACGGACTTTTGGTTTAAAAATAATTTATTTAAATCAACAGAGTGACAGCACTTAATTAAGAACTAAACAATAATCAACTTAATATCTATTTCTTCGTGCATTTATACATTCAGATTTACTTACTAAGTATTGGTCGTTGCTGACGCACGACCTACATTCGGCTTAGTGCTAGCAAAGCATATATTAATAGGGTTGGTACTCTTAACTCCTCCCTCCCTAAGAGAGAAATTATCCGAAGGGGCTAAAGGTGACTTCGGAAAATTTCTTTTATTGCAAATAGAATACAATTTAAACTTTAATATTATAACAATTACTATTATTACTACTATAAAATAAAGAACTAATGTCCATACACTTATGTTATGTGTCACCCCACTTTCCACCACTATTTCACTATTGCTATTTCTCACATTATTTAACATTTCTTTTACGTCACTGAAGTCCACGTTTGTCAAATCTAACTTTTTATCTGCCGTTGCTAAATCTTCCTGAAGTTCGGGAATCACCACCAGTGGCATCTGTATATTCACATCCGATACATTGCTTGATTGACCGAAGATTGTTCTGCCAATTTGCATGTTGCACCCTTGACTTGGCGTCACGATGTAAGTCCCCAGTAAACTGAATCGACGGACGTCGTTTCTGCAGTGTTCTGACAAAATTATTTTATCTGCTGTGAATATCAACCAGCTATTATTCATTATCTTCTGGATTTTTTAGCTTCTCAATTCGTATTTGATGTTGATGACATAGGCTGTAATTATTCTTTATTAACATTAATTCCTCGATACATGTTTCCTCATTGTCTGTTGCCATATTTTCTTCTGAACATAAGTATTTGTTGTCTTCTATACTCTCTCAAGGGCTCAACACATTTCTGTATTTCAAACCATTCACCAAAAGGTAAGGATATTTAGGAATAATTGTGTAAGTTTTAGAGGATTTTGTTATAGGAATAGGAGTAACCTTGTAATAGTTATACGTTTCTGATTCTATCAAAGGAATTTCTAATACAAATACTAATTTATTCTTATCAATATAAGACTTTAATATAATATTACGTTCTAATTTAAGTAAGTTGTTTTTTGTTACTGGATAAATTGTTTGTGCATGTTTTTCTATCACTTTAAAAACGCCTAATAACTCTGTAGAATTAATAATAGATTGGTGTAAGGTGTGCAATTTACTAAATGCAATAGCAGTTTCAATTTCTTGTATGCTCTCATAAATGTAACGAAAGTTATTTAGAATCTGGTATTTAACTGTAATTCTACTATTCTATTTAGTTATATATATCTATGCATATTTAATTCTAATTCTTCCTTAATAATATTATTATCCACTTATCATATGAAATAAGGGCGGTTTCTTCTCTGAGAGGGAGAACGCCTGCCTACCTACGAGGACTAACCTGTGGGGGACGTTTTATGTCCTTAAACAATGATCGATGCGCTTTGTTGTCGTAATAAATGAAATAATATTTAATTTTAGGTTTAATATATTCTTTGAGGAATTCCGAATTATTTAATGGTAAGTATATTTCT